GTTTAGCTGCTCCACTCCCTCCAAATTGCCTGAACGGGCGTGGTTACGTCGCTCCTCCCAGTGGACCGCTTCAATGGGCGTGGCTACGTTGCTCCTTCCTCCGAACGGTCTCAACGAGCCTGGCTGCAACGTGATCCGAGGGGCGTGTAGAATACATTCAGTGGGCGCGGCCAAGTGAGACGTACACGTCTGTCCTCGAACAGACATTTCCAGCGTCGTCGACGGTTTTTCCGGGCGCTGGTTGTACACATCGTCGTTACACGGTTGCAATGAGTTTATCGCCGGGCCAACTGACGCACGGCCATAAATTACGCTCGTAAAACCGTAGCAGGTCTCGCCGGGCGAGCTTAAAGCCGCTCTGCGGCGTCGAGTCGGCCACCCTGGAATTGGGTTTCGCTGTGCGTGCGAGCCTAACCGGAAGTCGGAGCTCGACTTCCGACGGTCGAAGGAGCACCGCCGGCTTTTTATCCGCGGCGTTCCGCGCGCGGGTCGTCCGATCGAGCTGCATCGATCGCGGGCCGCCGCCGCGGCCTTCTCCCGCGCGAACTTAAACGTCGCTCGAATACATCCACGGTACAGCTGATCTCGCCGTTCCGCCGCGAGTCATTACGCCGGAAGGAGGGACCCGCGAATCCTTGGCCGGGCTGCAGCCCCTAAAAATTTTATGCAGTTCGACGTGATTAGGCGAAGGGACGGTAAAGGCCCTTTACGATCGAGCGAACCGTGCTTCGCGCTCGCATTTAATTAGCGCCTCGGCCCGGCGTCGTTTCTTCGATGATCCGGTGTGCTCCGGGTATTTAGCATCGCGATAGTAAACTCGCGGTAGCGGTCTGCTAATAATTCCTCTACGCCAATGGAAACATTCTTGTACGCACGACGATGCGAACGAAATACAGTAATGTCTCCCATACCGACGCTCAGATTGTCCACCAAAAATGGACAATTTGGAGATACGATTATTCGAAGCCTTGCGGCTCGTTTTTGTAATTGTGGACAATTTATAACTATAAAAATAAACCGCAAGGCTCTCGAATAATCGTATCTCCTCTTCCCGAATTGTCCATTTATGTGCAGTAGGCGTCAGTTAGGGAGACATTACTGTACCGCGTTTTCGGTCGACCGTCCACGCCGGGGCGATTGAACAAGGATTTTCCGAACGGCGCCTATGCGCGAGCAATGTGCACGCAGCTGGTCGAACATTGTTGCTGTCGTTTGAGATGCTGCGTCGCGTTATCCCGCCCTAATGCAACGCCGCAAGGAGGGTCGCGGAGCCGTTGGGGCAACGGCGAACTGAACGCTGTTGCTCGCGCGCCGCGTACATATTTCCCTACTTTCGTTGCACATTTTATTTATCCCGTCGCGCGCGAAACGCGCATAAATAAATTGATTCGTTCGCGCGTCCAGAAGGGAGGAGTCTGAACATTTTCGACGACGTCGTGTCTCTCCCTCGCGGTCTTTAAACCCGCGGCCGCACACATAACCGCTGTACGAGATCAATGCACCCTTACGTTTTACGAGAACCGCGTTACGTAGTCGTCTCTGTGTGCGCGCGCGCGCGCGTGCAACGCCGAATACGGGCGCAGGGCGAGCGCGGACGCCTCGCAGAGAAAAAAGGTACTGCAAGCTCGTTTTTATGGGCCTGCCTTGGAACTATTGTTGTTACACCGCATCCATAAAATACGCTTCGTTCGTAACGTCGATTACGCGTCGTCGATTAAACTAAATAGAATTTGTGAATGATTATGGAATCGTGGAGAATCGTGACAAGGGTTGCGGAATACAGTAATGTCTCCCTAATTGACGCTCGGATTGTGCAGAAAAATGGACAATTTGGGAAGAGGGGATACGACTATTCGAGCCTTGCGGCTCGTTTTTATAATTGTTGACTAGGCTCGAATAATCGTATCTCCTCTTCCCAAATTGTCCATTTTTGTGCTGAATCTGAGCGTCAATTAGAGAGACTTGTCGTTTCCAATTCCAAGATTCCCTAAACGACTCGTTTCTACTTTGTCCCATATAAATAGTTTCCCGCGTGCTGTGTCTTCGAAAAATTTTCTTAACGAAAGTGAATTATGCACGAAAAAAGTAGAGATTTCAGGCTTTAAAATGAGCTAAGTTTCGTTGCTCTACGATTTTTATTCACGAAGTTACGGTATTCTGAATATCGTCGATGTTTCGAAGGTTCGAAATTTCGTGCACGGTCTTGAACGAGGTTTCCCACCCACTGTGTCGCAAATCAATTTTATTAAAGAAATTGGCGGACGTCCTCCGAAAGTAGACACTTCGGGCTTTAAAATGAGTCGAGTTCCAAGGTGGTACGACTTCGTAGCTCGTTTTTATAGTTGTTGACAATCGATAACCATAAAAAACGAGCCAGAGGATCGAACAATCGTGTCTCCTCTTCCAAAAATTGTCCATTTTCGTGGACCATCCGAGCGTCAATTAGAGAGACATTGCTGTACGTCGGATGGTCGGCAACGAATCGACGCGAGGAATGAGACGAGAGAGCGAGGAAGGGTTTCTCCGTGGGTATCGTCATCAAAGTCTCCGGCGCTCCTCCAGGGTGCGTTAACCCCAAGGACACAGCCCCGTTATCCCTAGGACCATCTTCGCAGAGGGGCCATAGAGCGGCGGTTCAAGGAGCCGCTCTCAAAAGGTCAAAAGTTCGTCCTCTTCGCGTGGCCCCTCTAAAGCATCATCGAGAGTGGCCCGCGCTCCTGTCGCCTGGCAACGCTCGGTTCGACCAGAGGACGAAGATAAAACGGGGTATGGGGGAAAAAGAAAAAGAAAAAGTAAAAGGTAAAGAGAGAGGAGAGGAGAGAAACGAGGGCCGATCTTAGAGCTCCCGCACCCTTCGTTCGGCTTTATTTCTGCACGCCACTCGACTCATTGCCGTGCGCTAGGCGCCACCTTAATTGGACCGAGCAATCGTCGAGTTTCCCTCCTTTCTTTGAAGGGTGCCAGTCTTGTGTCCTGACAAACCACCCTCTCGCCCTCTCTCCCCCGCCTTTGAAAACTCTCCTCGCCTCCTCCGCGAAAGGCCCTTTTTCATCCTTCGAGCCCCTTCAACTTTCGGACGCCCCTGCGGAACGCGGAAACTCGCAGTTGTTTCCGCAACGGATGCGTCGGGAAATGTTGTCTGTATCTCGAAGCTGAACACGTGTATCCGAAAGAGACTCCACCAAAAGCATATCCGTTTCAAATATTCCCGTGCGTGCAGACTTTTTTCGGCACGCCTCGGGCCCCGGGCAACAAGCGCGAGATTAGGTCCGCGAAGTCTCGTTTTCTATTTCAGCATTAGCACGACGATCTCGGCGCAAGCTTTTCCAATGGTGCTCCAGCGGCCGGCAGCATGAAACGGCCTTTAACTTCTACCGTCCCGGGCATAAAAGCCGAATATCCTTACTCGCAATACATTCTAATACCGCTATTCTACTCCGGGGGAAACTTTATACGGGCACACGGACAGGCCGCGCACACGGCCGCCGCGCGATACTCCTCGGCATTCTACCGGGCGCGGCGCAAGCTTTTACGATTTACGTGCCACGCTCCCGCACTTTACCTGCACACACTGTACCGAACGTTATGCCCTCGTAACTTCTGCCGGGCGTGTTGATTGTGCCAGGCGAAAGGGGGACAGTTCGGTGCCCGTCGAAATCTGAGAGGACTCGCCCCTTTACGTATCGACTGTTCCAGTCCGTGAATCGTAGAATCGTCGTTGCTAATTGCGAGGAGCTTCACGGTAGAGTTATTCGAGATATTTGTAATAACGTTTCATTTTTATTTTTGGCATTGTTCTAGGTTGACCGTTTCGAGTACGAAGTCCACTTCTTGCGATCTATACCGCCCAGGCTCGCCCCCGGGTCTCGCTATCCACCCTCTATTCTGTTCCCAAGCACCGCCAGGCATCGTCAGCCTTTGTGGCCGAAGCCTGCGCGTTGCCGTTCTCTCCGGCGAAATTCGCATGAGCTCCTGATAGGTTACCCGCCTGTTCCTTTTCTTCGTTCAACGGCGCCCACTGAGAAATATATATATATGCAGTTCGAACGTGACCTATATAAATTGGATCGTCGGGAAGTAGATATCCTGTGACTTAATTATCCGTTTCGATGAATAGATCGGTTTCGTTCGAGCCGCGGAAACATTTGTAAAGATAATTATTTTCTGCAACGACCGGCGCCCACGCCACTGGCGGTGTATGAAAATTGCGTGAATCCGTTCCGGCGAACGTTGCTTCTGTTATTTATTACTTTCTGTATTCTCGACAGCTGCTAAACAAACATTCGAACTGTCGTCGATTTTTGGTTTATCTAATTTTTTGTATGTACGATATAAAATAACAATTTGGATTATTTTTGTATTTTTGTAATTTTCTTGCCAAGACAACGTTCTAAATTGTGTTTTTTTACATTGAAAAAAATTGATCTTTTCTGGCCGGCCTTTTGTCAAAAAAAAATGTGCATTAAGGGGTTAAACATTTTCGAACCGTTCTTCTATCGAGCAGTATGCACCTTGGAAATGGAATTCGCCACGACGATGAACCTCCACCGAGCTTACTATCCTGTGAAACGGGCGCGTATTTCAGTATTACTCTCTCCTCGTCGGGGGTGTTCCACAAACACCGTTCCTGCGCCGGTCGGAAGGTTTCCGCGAACCTCGAACACGCTCCTGGCCGCCTGGTACTGCAATCCCGGGTTTTCGAGCAGATTGACAGTTTTTTTTTCGCTGACGGTCTTGCCAATATCTCGACAGACGGATTTTCTAATATTCCCGATAACGTCTGGGGGGGTTCTAAGGCATGGGAAATTACTCGAATTAATTGACAACAATGACACACTACCATTCGTCCGTGAACGATTTCATTAAAATATGGAGGAGGTATGAATGCGCGGCATTGGCCGCATACGGACGTCGATGATCATTCATTTAGATCGAGAAAATTCCTATTGTGTTCTTTTCTTGTTCATCAATCTTAGACGTCCGATGTTTTTCGTTTTTAGACGTCGATTGAACCCGATCGATGTGTCAAAAGCACTTTCATCGTCCTTCGTACGCCTACACGCAAACAGGAGTACATGCTGGGAATGGAGGAGCCCTGTGCGGCTGCGCCTATGCGCGCACGCAATTGACAACCCTCCCGACACTGCGGATCACGTGTACGTACGATGTAGCACGGAAAATAGCATTAAATATTTGTTTAAAATGTTTTCCTGCTGCAGAAATCACACGCGTTTGCATGTATGTTATATGAACAAATAAATAATAATTTTTAAATTGTTATTATGCTGTCGCAATTATTTTCAAATCGCAATCTTCATATATGAAAGTATATGACGGTTTTTACATAAGACGCAATGTAAAATCTCGGCACGAATTTTCTGCTGCTTTTCACAAACAATTTTCTATCCTTAGTTTACTATTTTATGTCCTAATTTTGTTATAATTAATACTTTTAGGTGATCCTGCATAGAGCAGATATGGCGCCTCTATCGGAGGAACAGTGAAGCTCCGAACGATGTCCGTACAGCGCCAATTTGTCCAGTGGCAAAACGCTCAAACTGTTCGCCGAAAGCGACCGTTGGTAATTTTGGCTACCAGTTTGAGCGTTTTGCCACTGCACCAATTGGCGCTGTACGGACATCGAACGGAGCTTCGTTATTTCTCCGAAAGAGGCGCCACTGACCCTATCAAAAAAATCGCAGTCGTTTATAAACTTCCGGCAGTCGTCGGCAGATGGCAGTCGAAATTCGAATATGAAACTGCGAATCTCCGGACACGCCATTTTGAAGTGCTCTGTCATCATCGCACGGTACAGGAAAAATTAACTGCCTATCGAGGTTTAATTATATTTATCAAAACGGAACACGTATAGTCAAAAAAATCAATCATGTCGGGAGCAGCGCTTTTTGGTAACAGTGCATCCCGTAGCAATTCAAAAAATCTGGTCGAATTCAAAGCTGGGAAAATGACTATGAAGGGAAAGATGGTTTATCCAGACACACGAAAGGGACAGCTTTACGTTTATCAATCTGATGATTCCTTGATGCATTTCTGTTGGAAAGACCGTACCACGGGTTTCGTTGAAGATGTAAGAATATTTTATATTTATATCCAATCTCTCTCCACCCGAACCGTCCGTTAACTCCATTCACGTTTATAATTATTAATGCAGTATTTATTCTGTTCCTACAGGATTTAATTATTTTTCCTGATGATTGTGAGTTTAAACATGTTCCCCAATGCAAAACTGGACGAGTATATCTATTAAAATTCAAATCAACCAACAAAAAATTTTTCGTTTGGCTTCAGGTAAGTTTCCGATCAGATTTGTCCTTCGAAGTAGTATAGTACATATTTCCTAACCGAGAAGATTTTTTTATGCGACACCGAATAAGCCACATATTAAACTGGGACACTATAGATTATTTAATTAACCTATGATTATAATGTAGACACTTATCAATTTGTCAGTGCATTTAATTTCATTTAATGTGCACTTATTAATTATTATTTTACCTTATAGAGCCTGAAAACAGACAAAGATGAGGAACACTGTAGAAAGATCAATGAAGTCTTGAACAACCCGCCAACCCCAGGCTCTCAAAGGAGTGGCAACCCAAATGCAGAAGGAGATCTTCAAAATTTACTAAACAACATGTCTCAACAACAGTTAATTCAATTGTTCGGTGGAGTAGGTCAAATAGGAGGAATAAGCAATTTATTGGGTACAATGACAAGACCACAGGTTGTTCAGAGTGCCAGGGCTTCTACGACAACTGCAACCAGTGATAGTACAAGGAGCACTACTACAAGGCCTGCGGCAACTCAAATGATTTCTTCTCCTTCATCAACTTGTGATACACCCAAGCCAAATAGTGAGTAATCTGATACAAAAGTGAGATGTGTTGATTTATATGAATTTTTCTCTAGGTGAATGTAAACCTGCAGCAAAGACGCCTGCTCCATCAACACCGGGAACCACCGCTACCAGCGGCAACAACAAAATACAGCTTAGCGATCTTCAAAACTTCTTGTCCGATATTCCACCACCCGTTGGAGCCGAAATTGTTGTTCAGGTAATATCTTGTATTCTTTGAATTATTTATGTTTAGTATATATGATATTACTATGTGAATTCAGTTTGCACACTTGTTTTATTGTTACTGACAACTGATCACAGATGTAATTATTTTTTGGCTTTATTTATACTTTCAATTCTATTTATTCTTATTAACTCGGGTCAATTGATTGTGGAATTAAGTATACACTATTGTGACTTACTATGTCGTAATACAGTATTTAACATTGTTCTAATTAATACTAGAATGATTTATATATTCAGAATTAAAGCCTGAATAAAGCGAAAAAATTAGATTCTATAAACAATGAAGCATGAAATAGCTTATCGTCTTTGTCTTTGCTTTTCATCGCCAAATTGTACATATGTATATTGGAAATTTTGAAAATTTATATTGTTATAATTATTTTTATGAAATCCTAAATGTATTTGAAGAATGTTAAAAAATTATTTAAGCTTTAAGAATTTCATAGTATCTTTGTTGTTTTATTTTTGCATAAAGAAATATTGTTTTATTTAATGATACAATTTACTGTAATAATCTAATAATTTCTTTAGTACAGTGTATTGCCTTCTGTAGATATCATTATCAAGATTAGAATGTGTTCTTGATAGTATACATGGAATAACACTTAATCTTGTT